AAGATGACCATGGAAGAGGATGACTTTTGACTAGGTAGACTGAGCTAAGGAGATCTGTTCTTACTAATCTTACTAATGAAGGCCTAGATAGGACAAAAAAGGCAGAGGAAGCATGAATTTGCCTTTATTTCAACTGAGCATCTATTTTCACCTGCTCTTGGACACTGGTGTCCCTGAGACTTCAGACTCAGATGGGCACTTACATCATCAGCCCCAGGTTCTCATGACGCAGACTGAATGAAACCACCAGCTCCTCAGCCGCTGTGTTGTAGTGGGCAGACCATGGAACGTCTCAGCATCTAAAATCATCATTATAGATCTCTTCATTTATCTTACACTGGGTCTGGGTCTCTGGAGAATCTAATGAATATAGTCTCAGGGCTCTTGCCAGAGAGAAATAAAGAAGAAATGTAAACACTGAAAAAAACCTATGTAACTTCATAAGATACGTGAATCCTAATGTACTGGAAAAGAGCTCTGCCTTGAATCCAGGAAATTAAAATTCCCGTCCTTGGTCCAAGGCAACTAGCGGGACCTTAATTAGGATGATTGTCTGTGGTCAGCTTCCTTGTCCTTATGTGTAACAAGGAAGTTGTAGAAGAGGTGTTCTTTAATTTCATGCTTGTCTACTGGTCTTGGAATTTGTGTGCCAGCTAAAGGTTTGGACATCCCAGTGAGACTGGAATCAGGTGTAAGACACTTTGTGGGGCAGAGTTGGTTTTAGGGCCGAGGGTGATGAGCACAAATAGTTGACTTCAGTGATGGAGTACAGTGCTCTTTGGGAAGTTAGCTCATGAAGCTCATTATTCATACTTGGATGATCTACTGGATAAAATATAAAGAAGCTTCAAAAAGGGTTAAGTCTGTTCACAGATGTCAGAGTTGTAACCTCTTTATTTTCAGAGCTGGGGTTAAAGCCATATCTGTATGTAAGCTAAGCAAGCACCGTACTAGAACAAAAACCCCTGTCCTATACCTAGTTCTTAAGAGACAAACATCTTTACAAAATACTCTCAGCAATGTTACTGCTGGAGAATACAGACGTACTACCCTAACTTACCTCAGTGACACAGGAAGTGAGTGTATTCTCCCTGCCACCCTTCTGAGACCTCTTGCCATGTATTTTATATATCTTTCTCATTCCAGCCCATGCTCATGCCACTATCACCATTTACAGGTAAACACTGTAATTGCTTTCCTGGGCATCTTTCTAGCATCGCTTTATGCAAACACAAGCCAATAGGATAAACATCCATTCTCTTTTCTTACAGAAAATGTAGCATGTTGTATTGTACTGTACTTTGTTATTTTTGTATAACAAAACATTGTGCAATTCATTCTCTATCATTAGAAAGAAACTATCATCTCAACATCACTACCTCACAGTCTGTTATGTTGTTGCAACATAACTTATTTAACCAGTTTCCCCTTGGATCTTTATACCTCCATTTTCTCTTGCTATTATGAAAAACACTACATAAATAATTTCACTATATGAATAACCATGTGCTCTCCAATATGTGCATCTTTGTCTGTAGGATACATTCCCACAAGGACTCTTGTGTCTTCTATAGAACATGTAACACCAGCAACACTATGGGAGACTGCTTGGTAATACTTGACTTCTAAGTATCAGTACAGAAATGTGCTTCTAAGGGTCATGGGTTTCATGAGCTCACTCTGGAGTACTCCAAGAATCCCTATTCCTACAGAAGCCAGTAAGATGAGGGTGTCATTTTCCTATAGTTGCCACACCTTGCCCAGGCTCAAACCTTTTTTTGAAGACTGCACGAAGGAGCCCTTCAGCCATGCCTTTTCTGAGGACCATCCCCATACTGCAATTCCAGTGTTCTGTCTCTTAGCTATAGGTTAGCTTTGCAATAAGGTCTCTCCTGTGGCTAACACAGTGACACTGATTTCCTTGAAAGCTGTCACTAATGCCTGGGCCAAGGTGGCACAGGCTTTGGAATGACACCTGTCTGGATTGAAACCTAGGGCTACCCTATCTCCCAAGGTTGTGACTCAGTCGTTTGGCAGGACTAAGGGTGTTTCTCTAAATAATTAAAATGAGGAATAAATTCCATGTCCTTTTGGACTATTGTAACATTAAAGAGAATCAAGTTTGAGACAGTGCTTAATACCTAACTGCACTCAACACTAATGTTTCCTATTTGCTTTTCTGAAAACAGCGGGGAATTGGGAAGAAGAACCTAAGAGTTAAAATTTATATCACAACCTTCTTTCTCCATGTTAACGCTGTCTTACTATATTCATAGAAGTTCTAAAAACACATTTGTAATAGTTATATAATTGTAACATGCTTTGCTGTTTGGCTTCTTATCCTATATAATAGTGGAAGTATTGGAGCTCAAGATGTTAAGTAACTGAACACAACAGAAAGTTGAAAGAAACAGTGTAAGAAGAAAACCACCACTACCACCACTACCACCAAAGATGCATAGTAGGCCTGGGTAGGCACACAGTCAGAGCCTTTTAGCATAAGACCACCTCAAGGTCAAACAAAGTTTAACTGGGGCAAGGGTGTAGCTCAGTAGTATATCATGTGTGCAAAGCTCTAGGTTCAATTCCCAACAATAAAACAAACAAACAAATGGTTACTTATTGGCCTGGTGTGCAGAAAGCAGGCTAATGGTCAATGAATTCATTTACTTCTTCCTTATTTAATTAAAGGTTTTAGGCATTTCTGTAATAGATCAATGAGTTTTATAAAGATTTATACAGCAAAATAAAACTATTGTACATTTTTTGGCATTTGAGTGGTTAAATCTCTGGTTTAAGTTTTTTTTTTGTTATCCAGAAAAATTAATCAGTAAACCTGTTTGTTTACCCAATATTTATTGATTGTTCACAATATATATAACACTGAGCTACGTACTGGATTTACTTGGAACATTTGCCCCAAAATTCTAGCTTAAGAAGCACCACTCAAAACACAGCTCAAATTTATGTTAATCTTTCCATGAGCCTTCATGATAGGTTTACTGTCACTAGAAGTGATTTTAATTTTAGAACCTTCTGGGTTCTACTATATATGCCCCTTCCAAAAGTGACAAGAAAGATAAAATTGTTGAACCAGCAAATATAAAGTTGAAATCACTTGCCAGTCTGTGAATCTTATGTTTCTATTTGAAACTTCAATTGTGGTAAACACTTTTGACTCATAATCTCATTTGTCAGCCCTGTATAGTGAGTGTAATTTACTTAGCTAATTTCACTAGTAGATTGTTCTTCCAGAGTACAGAGAAATAGCAATGATGAATAAGCCATTACTGCTTGCTTTTGTATCTCATTTCATAGCCTCACAGCTTAAATAGAAAAAATGTTTAAAAGCACAAATTGCATCTAGTTCCAAGAAGTATTTCAAACTGATTTCTTTTATTAGTGAGACCAAATATACTCATTGAAATATAGGTAGACACACGTTGGCATTATCAAATACAAAGACAATAATAACAGTGGAAACAATAACAGAAGCAGTTACCATTTATTTGGTGTCCTATTGGGTATCTTGTTGAGTCTGTATGATTGTCACCCAGTAAAGTCTTGAAATACTTTAAAGGAGGAAACTGAGGTTTAAGGAAGTTTTCTTGCTCATGTATTCATGTTACCATTTTAGTGAAACTGGTCTCTAATCCTGAGCAGTTGTACTCTACATTTGCTATTTAAGGTATTATTCTTTCAAATTTGGTAAAAAAAAAATTCTAGAATTCTATCTGTATGTAGCATTAGTTTTTACTTGTTAGCTTTAAGTTTTACTATCATAGGAAAAAAGGGGATTAAATCATTGTAGAAAATAAATGGATACAGTTACGTGATTTGTTTCCAAAAGTAGATTTCAGGATCATCTCTCCCCCCTCAATGTCTGGGACATTCATTTCTTGTAAGCATTTCCTCCAGGTCTTTATAGGTTCTGGCTTGGCATATACACTAACAAAAAATTGTATTCCCATTTCCCCTCGCCACTCTCAAACTTATTGGTGTATTCTAGCATTGAATGTCATACATCAAAGTAACTATTGAAGTTGTCAGAGGCAATTCAATGGCACACACATGTTACTTAGTCTTTTTAATCTTTTAAAGAAAGTTATTGACATTATTAGATTTTACTTAAGTGAGGAGTATAAAGAATGAGAAAATAAGTTAAAATAGGAAGGTCAATGAGTAAATCCAGTTGTCTTCTTTCTTTCTCTTTTTAATCTCAAAATGTTTCACTTCATCAGTCACAACTGTGACCATATAGCCCGCCCTATCGGGTTCAAAATATGCTTTCACCGAAAGGTCATTGTAATTCAAATCCATTCAGTGCTGCTTCACTTTCGTAATTTGTTAGGTAAGTTCGAGTAGCATCCCCTGCACCTATTTTAAATAATATAGCACATCAATAACATTTTCACTCATTTAAAGCCATGTTTACCCACAGAACCTTAGCACTAAAACAATTCTGAAAAAGAATCTTCACACATTAAGTAGCCTGAATTTTCCAAATTAAGGTCATGGAATTTAAAAATAACATACTTTAAAAAAAGTTTATAGAAATATATTTTGACTGTGTAGAAAATATATTCAAGGTCATAATATAGCCATTTAATTGTCCCTCCAACATGCTAGACACACCACGCTGATTTTTAACTGGATTCTGTCTTATGTTTCCTTAAGGAAATGGTGAAAACTTTATTACAAAGGATGCAAAGTTGTCAGTGACAGGAAATCAGGGGGTCTACAGAGATTTGGAGGAGGAGAGATGTCAAAACAGAAGACGGCCAGTAAGTTGTTTGTGGGAATCTCAACTGACTCATAGATTTTTAAAGCCCACCCCTAAGTAAGTAAACAACAAGAGTAAACTGTAGAAGGAGGAAGAAAACACACAGCCAAAAGGTGAGACACAGCCATCTTGATGGGGGGGCGTCTAACTACACAATGAGGTCATCCTATCTCCCGGAAGTGACACGTAATCACCTGCTTTCCACTAGCTCCGCCCCTTCCCTCAGAGGTCCCGCCCCTCCGCCAGCAGCCGGGAGGGTGTCAGGGGGCGTTTCTCCAGGAGGAAAGCTGTGAGCTGCGACGCTGCGGAAGGGGACCCCAAAACGTCTGGCACTGCCCCCTCCAGGGATCACTTTGGACCGCCTCACTCGGCCCAGCGGGATTCTGAAACACCGAAGGGTCAACCTGATGGGTTTCGGGGTCAACGGAAGAGGGGAAGGGGAGCCCTGGCGGGGAGAACCCCCCGGCCCCCCGCCCAGCAGCTGAGGCACAGGAGGGCGGCCATCTTGGCCGGGAGGGTAGGGCCGGGGAGCCGCGGGCGCCGTGCGATTGGGGGGCTCGCCCGGAAGTGACGCCGACTACCCGGAAGCGGAGGGGGTTCCCTGGCCCACTCCCCCCCGCGTTCGTTCGCTCCCCCGCTTCCTCCCCGCCCCCCTTCCTCTCCATTCGTTTCCCCCCCTCCCCGGTCCCTGCCTTCTCTCCCCCACCCGTCCCTCCCCCCCCAACCTCCGGAGCTGGGAAGAGAGTCAAGATGGCGGCGAAATCCGATGGCGGCGGCGTGGGGGTGGGCTTCGCCCAGCTGCACAACCTGGACGAGGCGGTGGGCAGCGGCGGCGAGGAGGACGGGGAGCCCGGGGGCGGCGGCTGCGGCGGCGGCGGCGACGGCAGCGAGCCCGGCGAGAGCAGCTCGCTCCACATCTGCCACTGCTGCAACACCTCCTCGTGCTACTGGGGCTGCCGCTCCGCCTGCCTGCGCTCCCTCCTGGGCAAGAAGCCGCGCCGCAGCGCCGCCGCCGCCGACGGGGGGGACCAGCCGCTGCAGCCGCCCGGGGCCGCCGGCCGCCGCCCCCCGACGCCCCCGGCCGCGCGGCCGCAGCCCTCGGCGCCGCAGTCGGAGCGGCCGTGGCTCGACTGCCTGTGGATCGTGCTGGCGCTGCTAGTGTTCTTCGGGGACGTGGGCACCGACCTGTGGCTGGCCCTCGACTACTACCGCAAGGGGGACTACGGCTACTTCGGGCTGACCCTCTTCTTCGTGCTGGTGCCGTCGCTGCTGGTGCAGAGCCTGAGCTTCCGCTGGTTCGTGCAGGACTACACGGGCGGCGGGCTGGGCGCCGTGGAGGGGCTCAGCAGCCGGGGCCCCCCGATGATGGGGGCCGGCTACGGCCGCGGCGGCCCCGGCGCGGGGCCCTCGGCCACGCCGGGGGCGCAGCGCCTGTGCCGCCTTTCCGTGTGGATCTGGCAGTCGGTCATCCACCTGCTGCAGATGGGGCAGGTGTGGAGGTAAGCGTGCTGCGGGCGTGGGGGTGGGGGTCCGGCCGGCTTCGAGGAGGGGGCCGTGCGCGATCCGGACGCCGGCCACGCCTTTTGGCCCTGGAGGCCGCGTCCTGCCGTGTGCTCGGCTGCAGTCCCGGGTAGCACTTGCTGGAGACCCTGCCCCAGCCTTCCTTCCCTGCCGCCTCTGCAGACCTCCGTATCCCGATTGTCCCTGCCCCCTCCATCCTAAGGTAACCAGCCGCTGGTCCTCTGTCTGCACCCCGGCTCGCGTCCTGTCCTGGGGGCCTGCCCCTTCTCCCACCAGATGGTTTGCAAACGGTTGTGGCCCCCCCCCGGACCCCGACATTTCCCTTCTGCCCAGCTCTCCCCTGCAGTGGTCAGCGTGAACCCCCACCCAGGCGGAAAAGTCCCCGCTGCTTCACCTGATAGCGCCCCTCCGTTCCACGCCCCCTCCCCCTCTGGCGAACGACTGTCCTCCTGGAAGGAAAAACGACTCGCTTTGCTGGGTTAGACGTGCCCTTTCCTTAGTGACAGATAAAAATTGGATGTTGGTGACAACAGCAGGCACCGCTAGAAAATCAGTTAACTACCGACCCCCTCTTGTGTTTGGTAGCCAGGCCGTGGAATAAGTGATTGCTGTTTGTACCAGACCCAAGCTTAGTTTTGCAACCCTTTCCTGTTCTGTAAATTCCTGTGTGCCAGGTGACCCCCTCCAAAACCACTTGCAATGCCCTCTCTCCAGGAGCCTTTAACTGGATGCACCAAGGCAGAATGATCCCATTGCAATCTTAGCCTGCACCTCCAGCACAGCCAGCTTGACTGTATTCTACATTCAGGAGCAGAGTTGTAGGTGAGAACATTTGCAGGAGAGAAACAGCGGAGACAGATTGCACAGGAAAGAGTCCTTCAGGTGCGTCGCTCCTGTGAGAAGACTGCTGGCCTAGCCTGCCCTGACTCCTTTGCCTAGTGGGAAATTTTAGGCCTTTGAATCTCAGGGTAAGAGGGAGAGTTATGCAGGTTAGCTGTAAGAAAGTTCGTTATCTTTTGGATGGTTTGTCCATATTTCTGTTCTGAATCTTAAATCATTTTAGCAAGCATGGGTTTGAATTAAGTCGAATCTTGAGGGTAAATTTATGAACTGTGTCCTACAGGACAAATTAAAGGGTGATTAAGTCTTGATTTCTGTAGTCTTCCGATGGTTGTTTACTGGTGTTTCTAGGTTGAACCAAGAAACCATGTCTTTAGCTGCGTTTTTCTTCAGATGATGTTTCCAACTGCTGAGTTTATAATAATAGAGGGAAGGAGATAGAAAAAAAAAAAAACACTGGTGATTTTAGTTGTTAGACACACAGCATAGCTTGAGGCTAAATAACATTTTTGAGTACATTTTGAACTTGAAATCTAAATTCGCAATCCTTGCCATCTACAAATACTCAATATCGTAATGAGTCAAAAGACTGAATTTGCACTGGGGATGGCTTTTCTTCAGCTTCTTGGAGGCTGGTAAAATGCAAGTGGTGAAGAAGGACTGGGACAAAAAGGTTTAAGAAAGGGAGAGCCTCTGGAATACCAATAGAATTTAACAGCACGTATTTAATAAGCAGGCTTTTGCTGAATGAACCAAAGTCACCCATCTCCTTGTTTTTATGCTTCTGAGTCTTACGTGTATACCAATACAGGAGTATTGGTATCAGGTTAAAATTCCAAATGCCTGACAGAATTATTTCAAGTGTAATCCACGGCATTGATTTGTAGTAGGCTTCTGGGACATAAGGAAATTGGGGTTTGGTTTCACAGTCTTGAGGAGGACCCCTTTCCCCCAACCTGAACCTTAAGTAGAAGTTCACATTTGGTACAGACTGAAAAGTACATTCTAAGTATAAATGTAGCTCTCGTAGTTGTGATAAGTGGAGTGGCATATTTTTTTTCTCATCTTCATTTAACTTTCAAAGTCTACAGTGGTACATATATATTTTAGGAAGATGCCTGTGATTTTAGTTAGTGTATCTAACTTTTTAAGTCTCTTTTTCAAGATTAGAATGTATCTCAACATAAAGTTATTAAAAGACATGCTAATTCAGCTAAGGCATTTCATCCAGTGTAGCTGTATTTCAGAAGCAGTGCTTGCCAAGGAGGGATTTTATTTTTTGTTCCATTTTTCCAGCAGGCTGGCTTTGCTTGAAGCGTTCCAGGAGCAAGGTCTGCTCCTTCGTTCCTGCCAGGCATGTTGCTTGCTCCAAAATCACTCAGATGTGAGAGCCTTGCAGAAGGGTTTTATTCTTGTTTTCATCTTTTGGCAAATAGTTGCTTGTAAACGTGCATACCCACAATGCCTCTGTTTTTACTGCAGGTTTTTTGGGGTTGTTGCTGTTCCCTTTATCATGTTTGTCACTTAAATTTTTGCTGTTGTCATGCGGCCGAATGATGTAAAGGTTAAGGCCTGGGAATTTTCTCATTTGATTTGAGCCACATTTCTAAGAAACGCTGTCTGTGAAGTTATACGTCAGTCACAACTGATTCCATGAAATAGTGAATACTTGTCTCTTCACATGCTTTTTCTTTCCTGTTTTTAAAAATGTGAAATTATTCAAGTCTTGCTTGGGCAAAGCACAATGGTTGTGTAAGAAAATTTATTTTCCCCTGTTGTTAAGATGTGTGTTGTTTTTGCTTTCAAGATATAAATACTTGACATATCTTGCACCAAACAACTGTATTTACAGAGTTAAGAAACCTTTTTGGCGAGGCCATGATTGGAGCATGGGAAGAGTTGGGCGTGCCGAGTTGGTATTATGAACCTGCTCTCGCACGTGGAGCTCTCGAGTGTGCATTAGGTCTATTTGGGGGGTGCTTTACTGTGCTGATTACTAACATGTCACTTGCTGGATAACTGTGTGTGTTCTACTTTTGAGGTGCTTTTCCCAGGGGTAACAGGCGTTGTAAATCACTCATAGCAAGAATATGAGTCACTCCAGGTTACACTTCATTCATTACAGTCTGTCGTTGTTAGAAAGTGAGATCATTTTCTTGGAGGGTTTGACAGCAAGCTTGGTGTGATGGAGTTTGCGTCTCGTGTTGGGTGGAAGTTTTTCTTGGTGTTACTGCCCTTTCCTTCGGAGGGTGCTTGGTGTGGGCACACTTCTTTTCAGTCAGGAAGCAACAGTTCTTCCGCCAAAACTCAGTCTAATGACAGAATCATCACTGTCCCTTAGGATTTATCTTTATGTGTGTTTGCATATATTTGTCTGCTGTATAGAATAGAAGAGAAATATATGAAGTGCTTTATAGGATTGACCATTGTTAAAGTGAATGTCAGCTTTATATTGGAAGACAGGCTAAAAACAAAACAAAACAAAACAAGAGACAGGCTAAGGTGGAGGGCATCTTTCAAGAGAGAAGAAAGGAGACATTGCTCGTTTCCTAACAGCACTGTCACCTGAACAGTGAAAAGCTTAGTTTTAACAAGTTTTTCTGCTGGGAGACTCTGGTATAATCTAGACATTTAGGTCTATGTACTCAATGAATGCAGATGGGCCGCTAGAGATGCTTGAAACACTTTTTAAATCACTGTGTCCCTTCTCCTCGCCACACGTAGGGGTAGTTAGTATGCCATGAGTCTTTCTTCACGTCAGATATTTTACATTCTGGCTCAGACAGCTTTTAAAGAAAAAAATTCCTGGGAACTTTTGGTCCTGCAGGAGAAGCCTCCCAGGGCAGCACCCAAGAATGCTAGCTTCTGAAGCATCACAGAGCAGCCAGACACTTAAAATTGGGGTCTCAGGCTTAGTCCGTTTTGGGGGTGGGTAACAACTTTGTGTTCTTAACAAGATGAGACAAGTGGGGAAGGGAAGATTTGGTACCATGAAAGTTGGGCCCTGCATAATGTTATAATGGAATGACTTTACCTTGAAATGTGAGTGTGTAAAAAGTCTTGGAGCTGTCTCAAGGGCAGGCACTCAGGGTTCTCAGTATTTTCTTATTTTTTGAGCATAAGTGTGTGAACTCCCATCTAAAGGGATTCCCAAATTCACAGCAGTCTGCAAAGAATGTAGTGTACTTATTTGCCTTTTGTATGGTACAGGTAATTCTTTGCATGTAAAAGGTGTAATCTGTTCAATTTTGAAAGGATTCTTTTAAGTAGGCTTGGGGAAAGCATAATTGGGATTACAAGAGGTGTTGGAATAAGTGATCATTAATATCCCTGTAACTCTTAAGATGTGATTTCATGGTGGAAATGTCACCTTGTAAATAAGGAACTTCACTTCTGCTGGGGCAGGGAACCAGTCACAATCAAACATTGAAACATTGTGTGTGGGTAGCTGTATATATCTGCTTATTATTGGATAGGAATATCAGTGTTGTAAAAATTTTATTTTTTCCATTTTGTCTGTTTCAAAAGTTACTGAGGTTTTTTTTTTGTTTTTGTTTTTTTTTGAGGAAAGACAAGTAGAATTTACTTGAATAAAATGTGAGTAGTAAAAACAAACAAAAACTTTGAGAAACAAAATTATCTTACCCCATCAGATTGGATGTTATAGTAAATAGACCAGTGTGCTATTAGCAGAGAAACTGAGCAAATAGTGAAGAGAGTATAGAAATAAATTGGTGCACTTGTGAAAATTTAGTACATGGTAAAGTTTTGGTCATTGGATTTCTGGTCATTAAAAGAATTATTTAACAAATGATATTGAGGCAGTTGATAACCAAGTTAAAAAAATAATAGCAAACCTTATGTAAACAAAAAAAATCTGAAAATAATGAAAGCTGGAGACATACACTGTTAAACTCTAGAAATACTAGAAGAAAATACAGAATGATACTTTTTATGATCTTCCAGTAGGCAAGACCTTTGAGTACCATCAAGGAAAGAAGGGGCAGATGTAACACTTAAAGTTGCCTATCTATCTGGTTTATCCCCTTTTTTCTCTTCTTACTGGAAAAATCTAGAATAAATGGTTAACTGTTTGGACAGGAGAGTTAAATTTAGGTAGATTCTTCCTTCAGGAGAATAAATATGAAGAGAGCATCTCTGAAGATTATATCTCAATTTTTAGTGAACAGTAACAGTTAAAACTTGAAGTTTATGGTGGATTTTCAAGGGAACATGAGAAAAAAGTGGCATGCTTAGAATAACATGGGAGTTAGTCATGCAGCATAATCTTTCCAGAATGATCCAGAAACACAACATCAGTGTCTGTGTTACACAAGTCTGGTATCATAAAAAAATCGAATAGGCATGTGTCAGAAATCAGAAGTTCATTTTTATCTTCAACCTTATTTGCTTTGCTGGATTTTATGCTTTATTCATAAGGTCAGTCAGTCAAGTTCATGCAGTGGATACCTTGTGGATTGTTACAGAGGTTGGGATACAAAAAGCAATAATGTTTGTCACAAGCTTTGCCATCTTCCCATGGCATGGCTAGTTTTACATGTGCTCTCTGCAAATGTTCTTACTTATCAGTTCTTCATTTTTTTAAAAAATTTTTTGGACAAGATTTCACTGTGTAGTTCAGCTCACTGTGTAGTCAGTGCTGACATCTAGTTGCTTCTGAGTCAGAAATGGATTTCTTACTTGACTCTGAAAGAGTAAAAGTTTTTTTTTTAAAGGAGAATACAGCTTCATTTTAAAAGTTCAGTAATTTTTGACTAATTGCCTAAGACAGTCCACTGTTTGCTACTGCCAAAGATTATTAAAAAGTGAAAGCCAGGGCACATCATGGTGTACAGGATATGAACACTGGTATTGTGAGGTTTAGAACTGTGAGGTTTAGCTCAGTGGCAGAATGCTTGTCTAGCATGTATGTGGCCCTCAGTGATCCAGTGCTCAACACTGTGAAAGGAAAAGTCAGAATCAGGTTTATCATTCTAAGTTACAACCATCTGTTGGCCTCAGTTTCCTCTTGTAGTTAGTAA